TTAAAGTTAGCGGCGATCCTTCCAATTTGCTTAAAAAGGATATAGGAGTCGATGTTGACTTGCAAACCGTTAATGTGCTATTGTTTATAGAGGTTTGCTTTACATCGGTTTAATTAGAAATGGACAAATGTTCTTCAACCAGCGATTAAACTATATTACGACTAGGAAAGAGATTCGCACAACGAATGACTGCCTTAACTCAGCAATCAGATACGACTATCTAAAAACATTTTGTTTGAAAACTACCGCAAAACAAGCTCTAAGGAAATGCTTATTAACGCCTAGTCTTCATATCCCGACGAAAGGAGCGAGCGGTTCTAAATGAGATGTTTAGAGCGGCAGCATGTATGCCTGGCAAAAATGAGAGAGCTGAAAGAACAGCCACCTATATTGCAAACAGCAATACTTGCTTTAAAAAATCAACTATAAACAACTAAAACTAAAAAAGACTTAAAAGTCTGCTTACGCAAGAGTAGAACAATACTGCAATATACTCATTCTGAAAGGAGAAAGAACATTGAAGCTATGTCGTATATTCAGTCATAGAGCTACTATACGGAAAACCTCAAGAAAACATTTTTCCCTAGTAACTTGAATGAAATCATTTTCCTCTGTAATGGAAATTGCTTTGATTTAGATTGGGCTCATTGGCATCACTTCTAACCTACACAACGTCATTGCATTTGCTTTCTACAACAAAACATACCATCGAGCCTATAGCCAACTATGTATCGCTCGTGGTATATGCAACATTCTCACTCTACAACTATTTATAATTTATGTTGGTCCTGAGCTCATATTGTGAGCAAATTTTCAATTTCTCCACTTCTTCCGCATTTAAAACTGTGCATTGCATTGAAAGCACATTTTTAGCAAAGTTTTTCTGGAGAGGAGTGCTCTAGTTCGTATTTTGGGGCAGACTACGACAAGCGCCTATGCTTCTATACCGCTTCTACAACTCGGTGTCGCTTGCAATCGCACCATTGCTCTTATTTTTCCACTGTATTATAATCGTATATGCAATGGACGTT